GGCCGTGTTCAGAACACGGCCAAAGAGCCCGAAAAACCCACAACAACCATTAGATCCCGGCCATGAAAGCCTTCGCGAATATATTACAAAAGATTCTTCCTTGAAACACTAGAGTACTGGTAACAGAGTAGCTAACATTCGTCGTTTACTCGTGTCCGACTCTTCGTGACTCCACAGACCAGAGCACGCCAGGCCCTCCTATCTTCCACTGCCTCCCAGAGTTGGGTCAGATTCATGTTGGTCGCTTCGATGACATTAGCTAGGCTGATTAAACATGATAGGACTTTGAGTTCAGCACCCCCTAGGAACAAAGTTCCCCAAAGTTGCCTTAAAAATACCCCCAAGGCTTCTGTGTTGTTGTTGTTGTTGTTGTTTTGAGTTATATCCCACCTCATAATGCTAGAGCACTCTTTGGTTTATAGCATACTAGAGCCTCGTGGCGCAGTGGTTAAACTGCTGTACTGTAGCTCAAACTGTGCTCACGAGCTGGGGTTCAATCCCAGGTACCTGGCTCAAGGTTGACTCAGCCTTCTATGTATCCTTCCAAGATTGGTAAAATGAGTACACAGCTGGGTGTGTGTGCAATGTATAGCCTGCCTAATTAACTTGTAAACCACCTAGAGAGTGCTTGAAGCACCATGGGTCAACCTTCCATCCTTCTGAGGACAGAAAATGGCTCCTCGAACTTGTTGGGATCAAACTCAGATCATGAGTAGAGGCCTGACTGCAGTACTGCACCACAGGATTCTAGGAGTTACAGCATTGCTCCAACTTAATTATTGTTCTTCTAGTTACTGCCATGATAGACAGATATTCTCAGCATCCAGGGGAAGAAAAGGACCCTTACCAAGAGAGGCCACAGTTGCATGGTTTTCCTCCATGACTTCCTCATGCAGGGCTCTCTGGTCAGGATCTAGCAGTACCCATTCCTCCTTAGTGAAGTCTACAGCTACCTCCTCAAACGTCACTGGAGCCTGGATGAAAAAGAAAAAGGATGAACCAATAAAATCCAAAAGGACTGTCAAGCTGAGATGGCTGAGTTTTCTACTGCAGGATCTTAACTTTCACAAGTGGCATTCACAGCATTCCGACCGCACGACAAGGGTACCAATATCTAAAAGTCATGTTCCCTACATGATCCTTCCAGGAGGACAGATGGGTGTGCTTGCAGCAAAAACAGGAGAGAGTATAAATGGTTTTTGCCTGCATGCCTGCCTCGTTGGCTTCCTTCAGGAATCTAGCAAGCCTTTCCAAACAGCAAGATGGGGAGTCTGTCAAAATCAGCATTGCTGTTCTTACATCTCAGTTTTGTTACAAGCAAACAGAAATACAGAGGCAATGAGAGTCCAGATGTGAAAAATCAATCAGTTTCTTCTCAGTGACCATCCTTCCCACCTGATCTGATTGCATTCCATCGCAAGAAAGAAGAGATGACTCGGTACATCTTGCTGGCTTCATTCCAGCCTCTGTGGAGGAAAGGGGACAAGAAGACAGACCCATAGATTAATTCTTAAGACTACAGTACTAGAAGTATAACACCCACTCAGTCTGACTGATCTCAATAGGGTTCTTGTGAGGAGAGAAAGAAAGCCATGTGGTCTTCAGCATGTTGGTGCACATGTGGTTATAAATAAAACTTTTTTAAAGCCACATAAGTCTAATATGGGGACGTGGTGGCGCTGTGGGCTAAATCGCAGAAGCCTGCGCTGCAGGGTCAGAAGACCAAGCAGTCGTAAGATCGAATCCACGCGACGGAGTGAGCGCCCGTCGCTTGTCCCAGCTCCTGCCAACCTAGCGGTTCGAAAGCATGCAAAATGCAAGCAGATAAATAGGGACCACCTCGGTGGGAAGGTAACAGCGTCCCGTGTCTAAGTCGCACTGGCCATGTGACCACGGAAGTTTGTCTTCAGACAAAACGCTGGCTATGGCTTGCAAACAGGGATGAGCACCGCCCCCTAGAGTCGAACACGACTGGACAAAGATTGTCAAGGGAAACCTTTACCTACTAAGTCTAATATGGGTGTCACAGTCTGTTCTATTGTGAACTTCTACTCAAGTGTTTATTCTTCTGGATGAAACCCCAACTCTTCTTGTTTGACCTTCTGGCGTCAAATCAAAGGGCTGGTTCCTACGTAAAAAGTCTTCAAAGTTTAAAATTAAACACATTTTTGAAGTCTGGAAAAGGCTGAAGACAAGGATCTCTCCTCAACCAAGAAACATAAAAGCAATCCAAGAATCTTGCTTCAGAGAGGGGAAAAAAACAATGGAACAGACACACTGTCCCAGCACAAATCCTTACCCTGTATGGTGGAACCTCCGTCCTCATTCTCCTTGATCTCCCTCTGCAGTGGACTCTCTCCAGTCCCCAACGGAGCCAACTCTCCCCCTGAGAAATCAAGCTGAATGTCTGCAGAAAGATTTCTCACCTGAAAGAGTAAGGAGGGTTCAAACAAAGAAGGATCAGAAAAGAAAATATAAAGGCAGAAATGCTGGGAGATGGGTTTCCCCTGTTTCCCCAAAAATAAGACCTAACCTGAAAATAAGACCTAGTATGATTTTTCAGGATGCTCATAATATAAGCCCTACCCCAAAAATAAGCCCCAGGTTAAGTGAAACCCTGCGCCTCCACTATTGTGCTGCAACCAGAAGAAGATGACATGACTGGGAAAAATGATGGTAATATAATTGGTTAATTTAGATGAAATTCTGATACAATCTTGGGCAGAAAAGTATTCAAATATTCTCGTATCTGAATAAATGTAGATTGTTGTACATGAAAAAAAATCAGCTATCTTCTGAAAATAAGCCCTGATGCATTTTTGGAGGAAAAATTAATATAAGACCCTGTCTTATTTTTGAGGAAACATGGTAGAATTTAATGGATATGGGACATCTCATATTTGATGATCTCAAGAAAAACACTGATTAATTAACAAAGAATTACACTCATAAATGGCAAAAAGCCTCTCCACAATCAACTTTCAGAATTTATGGAAATGTTTGAGAAGCATCTCACTATTGAAGCTTTCCCCATTAAATCTATAATGATAAAGACATATTTATTGCCTTAATGCAACCAGACTTGGTTAATGGGTAGCAGTTTGCTACTGCAACTTAGGCGATTTCCCTTAGCAAGTTTGTACTTCGGTAAAAATCAGTAATAACTGAATTAAACGATGGAAAGAAGGCCAACAATGATCCCACATCTGGTTTTGAATAACATTGGGTGTTCCACAGACTTCTAGATGAAGAATGGTATTGACTTTGGCAGAAGCTGCGAGAAAGACATAGAGTGGGTCAAGAAAAGGGACAGAAAGGATACTAAATTAGAAGCAGGTGGAAATGGACTCACCTGACGATCCTTTTGCATTTTCTCCTCTGCCTGGCTCAGGAGGAAGCCTTCGGCCAGGGCCACCGCCTGGGAACTGGTCTCTGGTCCGCATTCCCTCACCCAGCTGGACATCTCCAGAGGAAGGATGGCCAGGAACTGCTCCAGGATCAGCTGGTCCAGGATTTGAACTTTGGCGTGGTTCTCTGGCTTCAGCCACTGATGGCAAAGATGGTGGAGGTGAGTACAAACTTCTCGGGGACCTTCAGCTTCCTTGTAGGAAAAGCACCTAAACAGTTGCCGCTGTAAATCTGAGCTGGTAGTGTCTTCATCCGGCACCTTCTGCACTGATCTCTCCCACGAGCCTTCGCTGTGCTTGGTCATCAGGGCATCAGGGTGTCTTTCTGTTTCAGGGCCAGCTGTCTCTGGCTCTGCCATCTTTGAAGTCTGTTCTCCAACACAGCCTCCGAAGGAATCTTCTCTTTCCAAGCTAAGGCTCCCTTGTCAGGTTGTGCTATAAAACTCTCCAAAGTCAGGACATTTTTCTCCCCCTGAGTCTTCTACTGTAGGAAGAAGACAAACTGTGCAAGAATCCAACCAGCAATCCAGGTCTGATCCTTGAAAGAAAGGTGAAAAAATGAGAATCGCTCACTTTGGAAGATTCTTTCTCCGAGAGTCACAGATGAAGACCTTTCTTTTACCAAAGAACCCGAAGATGCAGCACACACCCCACCCCCAGGTCTGCTTCTCCTCATTACCTGTACGTTTCCTTTATACCAAACTATCTTAAAATCAGGGTTACTAAGTTTTAATTTAAATGAAACTTCAGTTAATTAACTGATTAATTGATAAATCAGTAACCTCAAGTACATATATTTCTAAAGCTATATTTCTATCATAACAATTTATTTCTCTGTGATATATAATATTGTTTTAATAATGAGTTTTAATACTTTAAAAAAACTACTTAACCTTCTCTTTTACCTTCTGAGATACCCTGGCTCAGCAGGATTCTCTTCCCAGGGACTAGGAGCTGCCTTATAAGA